GAGACACGAGCAACGTCGTGCGGCAGGTCCTGGAGGCCGTGGCCTACTTGCACTCACTCAAGATCGTGCACAGGAACCTCAAGGTGAGGCCAGGAACCAGGTCTGTTGGCAGTCAGCCTAGGGCTGACGTGGGCTGCACCTTGGGGTCTGAGTTCTAGCCTCTGGGGTCCTCATGGAGTCTTTCTCTGCTCACCCACATGTCATGCCTGCCCGGAGCAGTTGGAGAACCTGGTTTACTACAATCGGCTGAAGAACTCAAAGATTGTCATCAGTGACTTCCACTTGGCTAAGCTAGAGAATGGCCTCATCAAGGAGCCCTGTGGGACTCCCGAGTACCTGGGCAAGCAGGGGGTGGGGCAGGAACAGGGGCAGGGTGGGAGATAGTCTTCAAGCAGTGGCTCTCGGTAGGGGGGGAAGGAATTCTCTAGCCTGGGAATGGGTGTGAGTGGTACCAGGACTGGCCAGGCCTGATACTGATCATTAGATGGACACTGTGTTTGCAGCCCCAGAGGTGGTAGGACGGCAGCGGTATGGACGCCCTGTGGACTGCTGGGCCATTGGAGTCATCATGTACATCCTGTGAGTGATTGGGCAGGCAAGCAGGTTTGCAGCCAGGCTGGGTTTTTTTTATCCATGGCCTTCCAGGGTGACCCTGACCTTTGGCCCCCATGCAGGCTTTCAGGGAACCCACCTTTCTATGAGGAGGTGGAGGAAGACGACTATGAGAACCATGACAAGAACCTCTTCCGCAAGATCCTGGCTGGCGACTATGAGTTTGACTCTCCGTATTGGGATGACATTTCACAGGCGGGTGAGGAGGTGCCCAGCATGTGGGTGGAGGGAAGGGTTGGTGTGGGGGATCTGCTTTCAGCCTTCTCTGCTGGACTCTGCTCCCACATCCCAGCCCATTCATCACCCCTAGACAGTGAGATGAGGTACCCATTCCTATCCTCTCTCTGGCTTTGTCTCCAGCCAAAGACCTGGTAACAAGGCTGATGGAGGTAGAGCAAGACCAGCGCATCACCGCAGAAGAGGCCATCTCTCATGAGTGGTGAGTAGGGCCCATGGAGGACAGAAGGAGAGGCCAGGTTTCTCTAGACCTTTGTCCTCCTTAAATCTAGTAGCCTCCATCCTTGATACTTTGTGTGGGGGTTGGGGGTGCCCAGAGCTCAGGCCAGAGGGCCTGCCTCATAATCTCTGGATCTTAAAAGAATAGGACTGGGCAATCTCCATGAAGGCCTGTACCCCCTCAGATCCAGAAGCACTTGCATCCTTTCTAGGATTTCTGGCAATGCTGCTTCTGATAAGAACATCAAGGATGGTGTCTGTGCTCAGATTGAAAAGAACTTTGCCAGGGCTAAGTGGAAGGTAAGGCTTGGATGACTCCCTTTCCTGGACTGATCCCAAGTGTTCCTTCTGGCACACACAGTTTCCTGCTATATCACACCCCTGTAGCCACACATAGGCATTTCTTCCACTGTCACTACCGTCAACGAGTGTGCTGAACAGTTGGGTCCCTGGTCTAGTCCCCTGGGGTGGTCAGAGGCAGCTAGGGGTGCCATGGAATGGTCTGGCTTTGGCTCTTGCCAAGGAATGGATCCGGCTTCTATAAGCCTCACTCTGGGCCTCTCTACTACCCTCCTTTCAGAAGGCTGTCCGAGTGACCACCCTCATGAAACGGCTCCGGGCACCAGAGCAGTCCAGCACAGCTACAGCCCAGTCTGCCCCAGCCACAGACACTGCAACCGCTGGGGCTGCAGGTGGGGCCCCAGCTGCAAGTGGAGCTGCCCCAGCCCTTGGGGGCGGTGCCACCTCAGCTATAGCAGGTGATGCTGCTCTTGCCGCAAAGAGCGATAATGTAGCCCCTGCAGACCGTAGTGCCACCCCAGCCACCGATGGCAGTGTCACCCCAGCCACCGATGGAAGTACCACCCCAGCCACCGATGGGAGCATCACCCCAGCCACTGACGGGAGCATCACCCCGGCCACTGATAGGAGTGTTACTCCAGCCACTGATGGGAGAGCCACACCAGCCACAGAAGAGAGCACCATGCCCACCACCCAAAGCAGTGTCACACCAGCCACCAAGGCAGCTGGCACCCCTGAGCCGGCTTTGGCCCAGCCGGACAGCACAGCCCCTGGGGGCGCAACAGGCCAGGCTCCACCCTCTAGTAAAGGGGAAGAGGCTGCTGGCTATGCCCAGGAGTCTCAGAGGGAGGAGACCAGCTGAGTGGGCAGGCTGGTGTGGGGCAGGGGGCGGGCAGGAGGGTGGGAGAGTGGATGAGGGGCTTCTCACTGTACATAAGAGTCACTGGCATGATGCCCTTGCTCCCCCCTGCCCCTGCCTCCCAGTGTGAGGCATGACTGGGGGCCACGGGAGAGCAGTCTCATCTCCTGTGTGTATGTGCGTGAGTGGTGGGGAGGCCAGAGGCAGGACCAGCCCCAGCCCCTGCATGGATCCCTTGTGGCTTTTCTGTCTTTTGCTAGCTTCACCAGTTTCTGTTCCTTGTGGGATGCTGCTCTAGGGATACTCAGGAGGTCCCTGCTCCCCTTCCCCTTCCCTTCTTGCCTCATAATTTCCCCAGGCAGGCCCTGCAGGCCCCATCCTCTCCCAGGCCCTAAACTTGGGTGGCCTTGCCCTGAGAGCTGGTCCTCCAGCGAGGCACTGTCAGCGGTCTTAGGCTCCTGCACATGAAGGTATGTGCCTGTGGTTTGTGGGCTGCTCTAGAATGGACACAGGCTGGCATAGAGAATGTAAAAATCTAGGGCAGTATGCTTTAAGACAAGACTGGTCGTATGGTTGGGGGCACTGCTTGGTAGTTTTGGGGGTCCTCAGAAGTGAATGAGAAGGAGTAGGGGGGGTAGAAACTTCCACCTTTGTTCCTGAAAAGTTCCTACTAATACCCTTGTGCTATTTCCTGCCATCCTGGGCTCTGCAGTGGGTTGCCCTGTGCCCTGAGCTTCATGAGCCTGTAAGGGGAAGGAGGAACAGTTGGGATGTGGCAATGAAAACTGGGAAGGCAGCATGCAGGCCGAATACCTAGCGTACCAGCCTACCTGGATCTTTACCCCGAGTCAAAGAGGGAGGGCCGATATCCTTGGCTCTTCTCTGAAGGTATCCCTCAGGCTCAGGCTACAGTCCTCTCCATCCCAGGGGGTCTGCCATATGGCAGTGTCCCATAGTTTGATTTGGGGGAGGTTCACCCTTCACAAGGGCATATCTCTGCTCTCCTAATTCAAAAACAAAATAGAGAGGAACCCCCCTCTGTCTGTGACCCATTTCCCCTTCTGTCAGGGCTTAGAGAGAGGCCCAGGTGCCTCTGAACTATGCTGAGTTGCTTTTTCTGGAATGAGGAAGTGGAATAAGGCTCCCCAGTTTCCTTTTGGAGGCTCCTGGCAGGTGCCCTTTGTCAGACCCCACCACAGCTTGGGCAGGCAGCCACACTGGTCCCGGCCTTTGCTCGGCACTCCAGTGGCAGTCCTGCCCTTCTCCCTGCATGCCTGTGGGTCTGCTCTGGTGTATGAAGGTCGGTAGGCTAACTGTGTGCCTACTGAACCTGGCAAATAAATGTCACCCTGCCAAAGCCTTTGGCCATCCTCTTGCCTTTGCTTCCTCTCTTACTTGGGAGGGGCCCCTGGAAGGCAGTGGGGAGGGAAGAGGCTGGGAGCAGGTTCACAGGTCTGTGCTCACTGCCATGAGGATTGCTTGGGCTGAGAGTGCAGATCATTCTTTACCACTGTGTATTCCTTGATTGTGTTGGCGGGTCCTCTGGACTCCAGAAATCCATGTGGGTGGTGGGTCCTGTCCTGGGCTTCTGCCAAGGAATAACCTCTGGACTGCTATTCTGACAAGTCCTGTTGAATAAGGAGCCCTTGTCTTGACTTAGGCATACAACTGGAAATCACCACGGACCAGCCACCATAGGGAGAGACCTTGCCCATGGCCAAAGTGGGCTTCCTTGGGTTGGGGAAAGGGTGCAGGGTGGGAAGTGCACAAAGGTTCTATGCTGCCCTTTGAGTTGATTCCTCCATCCTGTGAACAACACCTGTGCTTTCCACATAGGCCCAAAGAATTTCACTGTGGGTCTAATTCAGGTGGAATAAATCAGCTTTATATCATGGGGCTCTACAAAAGATTTCTTTTCGGATGAGGGTAGTAACACTGCTAAAAATAGTAAAGCATGAAAACCCCTAGGAAGACTTGTTCCAGTCGTGACTGGCCCAGGTGAATTCACCAAGTATGCTGCTCTTTCTGAGGGAAGACCCCAAAGATAACTTCTCTGATGTGGGAATCAGAAAAAGGGTTTGCTAGTTGTGAAGCATCTGGGCCTCCAGGATTCTTATCCCACTACAGTCTGGAGCCATGCTGATCCTTCTAGGAACTAAAAGTTAAAGTCAGGGTTCTGGCCCTGCCGCCTTCAAACTGAGGGATCTTCATGCCTTGCCTGGATAAAGCCAGAGTAAGCTTGGGGTGTCCTGAGGGATTAGGACCTGTGTCCATCTTTCTAGGATAACTCAGAGCCGAGGGCTGAGAGGGTGGAGCATTCTTTTGGTCTGTGGGAACTACGGGTTTCGGGGCTTCTGGCGAGTGGTTGAGCACTGCCCAGAGCCCAGCGGGCCACACTCCATCGGGACCGTCGTCCCATTCCCGTACGGCTTCGGTCTTCTCGACTCTCCCGAAGTGCAGAGAAGACTGCCCTGACAGAACAGGGCTGAGAGCAGAACAGCGCCTCGCACCGGATCTGACTTCGGACCGTGAAGCCGTGTCTTGCCCCAGAAAGGGGCCCGTGGCGCGGCGTAGCTGCTGCGGGTACGTGCTGAACCCTTCCGGGAGCCACAGGAGAGTTACCACTGACAAATCCAGTCTCGCGCTCAGCCCCGGGATTCTCTCCGGCCGTTAAGCCCCGCCCCCTGTGGTTCGTCCAATCCGGACCCAGCCTTCAGGCTCCGCCTCCATGTTTCTTATTACCACTTCCGGTCCGCTCCTGGAAGTTCCTCAGTGGAGCCAAATTTGAAGCCAGCCGGGACGCGGGCGCACGGCCGTGAAGCTGGACCGGCCGAGTTTTCCTTGCCCGCCTGTGCCCTTTTAGGCTCGTCATCATGCCTATCCGTGCGCTGTGCACCATCTGCTCCGACTTCTTCGACCACTCCCGAGATGTGGCCGCCATCCACTGCGGCCACACCTTCCATCTGCAGTGGTGAGTGACCGCAGTGGCGGGGCCGGGCCCTCTGCCTGGTACCGCTACAGGACTGTGGGGTGTCAGGTCTCCGAGTGGAGCCCGGACAGTGATAAAGACGGCACTAGTCGGAGCCCCACGGTCGGTCTCCAACCTGGGCAAAGGCGGATCAGGGCAGGCTTCCCAGAGGAGGTGACAGTTGAACTGAGTCCAGGGTAACAGAGTTGGTTCAGTGAAAATAAAGTAGGGGGCTCATTATTAGTACGAATGGAGGTGAAATTTCTCCAAATTAACGAGGCCTTTTATTTCTTCGAGATTACCTGGTAGGCCTCTGACTATCCGATTTGTTGTGCTTGATGGTTTGGGATTATTCTACGCAGAGTCATCTCGTTGGCCAGACATCCCAGTGTATTCACTGACACCAAGAAGCCCGAGTTAATATGGAAGGGCAAGGAGGTGCTCTCTGATCAAGCCGTCCTGCTGACCCTTTGAATGTACAGCTGATGAGGAAAGATCCTCGAGCAGCTGTGGACTGCCCCCCCACCCCTTTTAAGATTCTTATTTATTCATTCATGAGAGACACAGAAAGAGAGAGGCAGAGACATAGGCAGAGGGAGAAGCAGGCTCCATGCAGGGAGCCCGATGAGGGACTCAATCCTGGATCCCGAATCACGTCCTGAGCTGAAGGCAGATGCTCAACCGCTGAGCCACCCAGGTGCCCTGGACTGGCCCCTTTTTAAAAATGAAATATAATTGACATACCATATTATATTAGTTTCAGGTGCACAACATACTGATTCAACAATTCTATACATTACTCGATGCTTACCACCATAATTGTCACCATACAACAGTATTATTGAGCATATTTCCTATGCTGTACAAGTCTGGGTTTTTTGCTTGTTTTTTAGTTTAGTGGTTTTTTTTTTCAAGATTTATTTATTTTTTTTTATTTTAGAGAGCACAAGCAAGCACGCATGCCTAAGAGAGGGGAAGGGGCAGAGAGAGAATCCAGAGGCAGACTGCCTGCTGAGTGGAGAGCCCATGTGGGGGCTCTATCCCAGGACCCTGAGATCATGACCTGAGACGAATCAAGAATCTGCCATTTAACCAACTGAGCCACCCAGACGCCTCTTTATTTTGTGTTTTAGATTCCACATATAACTGAAATCCCTGACTTATATATCATTTAGCATAATACCCTCTAGGTCTACCCATGTTGTCCCAAATAGCAAGATCTTATTCTTTTTTATGGCCGAGTAATATTCCTATGTGTGCGTGTGTGCATATACATGCTATACTTCCATATTTGGCTATTGTAAAAGAGCTTCTTTTTTTTATTGTGGTAATTTTTTAAAAAGATTTTATTTATTTATTCATGAGACACACAGAGAGAGAGACAGAGACACAGGCAGAGGGAGAAGCAGGTTCCATGCAGGGAGCCCAACGTGGGACTTGATCCTGGGTCTCCAGGATCAGGCCCTGGCCTGAAGGCGGTGCTAAATCGCTGAGCCACCCGGGATGCCCATATTGTGGTCAATTATATATCACATAACAGTTACCATTTTAACCATTTTTGGACTATCACAAAAGTTTACTTAACAAAGAAGTTCAATATGAAAATGTGTATGACTCAATTTTATATCATAATAAAATGGACCCTTTGGAGAGGGACACGTGAAAGCAATTGATTTCTCTGGTGAACACAGTCATTGTTTATACTCATTCCAAGGCTTCTAATATGATTATGCTATTCTTTTTTTTTTTTTTTTTTTTTTATGATAGGCACACAGTGAGAGAGAGAGAGAGGCAGAGACATAGGCAGAGGGAGAAGCAGGCTCCATACACCGGAAGCCCGATGTGGGACTCGATCCCGGGTCTCCAGGATCGTGCCCTGGGCCAAAGGCAGGCGCTAAACCGCTGCGCCACCCAGGGATCCCTGATTATGCTATTCTTTAATGTTACCACCATTCTATATTTTTCTGTTGCCCACTAGTTGTCATCTGCACACATTTATCTGTCACAAGATTCTTAAAAGGGTCAAATCCAAGCGGTATTCCTCGAACATATCTGCCACCATTTAATTTCAATGATAACTTCTTGTCCATAATTTTTTTTTTTAACTTGGGATGGTGAGCTTTGCTCATGTTGGTTACTTGGTGAGCTTAATGATGCCTTCCATTTTTAACCATTTTTAAGTGTACAACTCACTGGCATTAAGTACATTCACAAAGCTATATAACCATACCCAATATCTATTTCTAGAACTTTTCCATCATTCTAAACAGAAACACTGTACCAACTAAACAACTCTCCATTACCCCCTCCCTGTTGCCCCGAAAATGTCTATTTTTACCCTCTGTCTCCTTGAATTTTCCTATTCTGGGTACCTTGTATAAGTGGAATCATACAATATTTGTTCTTTTGAGTTTTAAATTTTTTTTTTTTTTTTTTTTTTTTTTTTTATGATAGTCACAGATAGAGAGGGAGAGGCAGAGACACAGGCAGAGGGAGAAGCAGGCTCCATGCACCGGGAGCCCGATGTGGGATTCAATCCCGGGTCTCCAGGATCGCGCCCCGGGCCAAAGGCAGGCGCTAAACCGCTGCGCCACCCAGGGATCCCTGTTCTTTTGAGTTTTGCTTAACTTCACTAAACATAACGTTTTCAAGATTCATACATGTTGTAGCATGTTATCAGAATTTCATTCCTTTTATGATTAAAATTCAGTTGTATGGAAATGCATTTTGTTTATCTCTTCATCTGTTAATGGACCTTGGGTTGTTTCCATATTTTTGCAACTATGCGTAATGCTACTATGAATTGATTTAGAAGTATCTGTACAAGTCCCTGCTTTCATTCCTTTTGGATTATGCCCAGAGGTGAAATGGCTGAATGAATATGGTGATTCTGTGTTTAATTTTTTGAAAAAGTGCTTCACTGCTTTCCATATCAACTTCACCATTTTACATTCCCACCAGCAATGCGCAAGGATCCAATTTCTCCACATCCTTGTCAACATTTGTTATTTTTGGTTCTTGTTGTTTTTTTATAATAGTTACCTAATGGGTGTCTTTTTTTAAAATATTTTTTTCTTTATTTATTTATGATAGTCACACAGAGAGAGAGAGAGAGAGAGGCAGAGACACAGGCAGAGGGAGAAGCAGGCTCCATGCACCGGGAGCCCGACGTGGGGTTCGATCCCGGGTCTCCAGGATGGCGCCCTGGGCCAAAGGCAGGCGCCAAACCACTGCGCCACCCAGGGATCCCAGTCTTTTTTTTTTTTTTTTTAATGTTAGCTTTTACAGCTATCAACTTCCCTCTTAGCATGCTTTCTTTGTATTCCGTAAGTCTTGGTATGTGGTGTTTTCATTTTCACTCATCTCAAGGTATTCTCTAATTTCCTTTGTGATTTCTTCTTTGACCCATCAGTTAAGTGTGGGTTGTTTAACTTACATGTATTTGTGAATTTTCCAGTTTTTTTTTCCTGTTACTGGTTTTCAGTTTCGTTCCATTGTGATCAGAAAAGATACTTTGTATGATTTTAATCTTTTAAAATTTATTTTTTTAAGGATTTTGTTTATTTATTCATGAGCGATACAGAGAGAGAGAGGCAGAGACATAAGCAGAGAGAGAAGCAGACTCCATGCAGGGATCCCAATGCAGAACTCTAAACCAGGACCACAGGATCACGCCCTGGGCCGAAGGCAGGCACCCAACCACTGAGCCACCCAGGCATCCCTTTTTAAATTTATTAATACTTGTTTTGTGGCCCAACTTATGGTCTATTCTGGAGAATGTTCCATGTGCACTTGAGAAAAATGTGTATTCTGCTGTGATTATAGGTAGAGTATTTGTGTCTTATTTCTAGTTCTTTTATGTTAAGTCCTCTGTTTCCTTATTGATTACCTGTCTGATTGTTCTATCCATTATTAAAAGTGTAGGGTAGGGGCAGCCCCGGTGGTGCAGCGGTTTAGCGCCGCCTGCAGACCGGGGCGTGATCCTCTCTGTATGGTGCCTGCTTCTCCCTCTGCCTGTGTCTCTGCCTCTCTCTCTCTCTCTCTCTCTCTCTCTCTCTCTCTCTCTCGGTCTCTATGAATAAATAAATAAAATCTTTAAAAAAAAAGTGTAGGGTATTGACATCTCCAACTTTTATTGTAGAAATATTTCTCTCTTAATTCTTTCTAGTTTTTTTCCATATATTTTTGGGCTCTGTTGTTAGGTACATGTATGTTTGTAATTGTTATTTCTTCTTGTTGGATTACACCTTTTATCAATATTAAAGTCCTTTGTTTTTTGTGACCTTTTTTGACTTAAAGCCTATTTTGTCTAATAGTAATATAGCCACATCAACTCTCTTTTTTTTTTAAAATTTTTTATTTATTTACGATAGTCATACAGAGAGAGCGAGAGAGGCAGAGACACAGGCAGAGGGAGAAGCAGGCTCCACGCACCGGGAGCCCGACGTGGGATTCGATCCCGGGTCTCCAGGATCGCGCCCAGGGCCAAAGGCAGGCGCCAAACCGCTGCGCCACCCAGGGATCCCTCAACTCTCTTTTTAAATTTTTTTTTTTTATTTTTTATTTATGACAGGCACACAGTGAGAGAGAGAGAGGCAGAGACACAGGCAGAGGGAGAAGCAGGCTCCATGCACCGGGAGCCCGATGTGGGACTCGATCCCGGGTCTCCAGGATCGCGCCCCGGGCCAAAGGCAGGCGCCAAACCGCTGCGCCACCCAGGGATCCCTCAACTCCCTTTTTGTTACCATTTTTTACTTATCCTGCTTGAGATTCACTATGGTTCTTTTTTTTTTTTTTTTAAGATTTTATTTCTTTATTCATTAGAGACACAGAGAGGGGCAGAGACCTAAGCAAAGGGAGGATAAGGATACGCAGGCCCCATGTAGGAGCCCGATGCGGGACTCTATCCTGGAACTCCAAGATCACGACCTGAGCCAAAGGCAGACGCTCAACCACTTGAGCCACCCACGTATCCCCTCACTACTGTTCTTTTACTTATGGAATGGTTTCTTTAATTAGTTTTGGAAAATCCATCAGCCATTATCTTTTCATGTATTGTCTATTCCATTATCTCTTTTCTTTTCATATTAGTTTCTCATTTCTGTTATAATAAATAACTACTAACTTGTGATTTAGTTTTTTTTTTTTTAAGATTTTATTTATTTCTATGACACAGAGAAAGAGTGCGCTCACGTGAGCAGGTGAGCAGGGGGTGCAGCATAGGGAGTGGGAGAAACAGGCTCTCCACTGAGCAGGGAACCCAATGTAGTGCTTGATCCTAGGGTCCTGGGATCATGACCACAGTGAAAGGTGGATGCTTAACCTATTGAGCCACCCAGGCACCCCTAACTTGGTGGTTTAAAACAACAGAAATTTATTATCTTGTAGTTCCAGAGGCCAGAAGTCCAAAACGGTTTTACAGGGTTGTAGTAAATCTTAGTAAGTGGGGATATGCCTTTCTTGGCTCATGACCCTATTCTCCATCTTCAAATCTCTCTGTATGACTTTGACACTCCTACTTCACTTATGGATCCTTGTGATTACATGGGGGTACACTTGAATAATTTCCCCATCTCAAAATCCTTAATCATATCTGCAAAATTACTACTGTCGTATAAGGTAAAATATTCACAGGTTTGAGAAATTAGGACATAGACTTCTTGGGGAAAGTGCATAATTCCACCTAATACTTTCTTTTTGAAACTCCTCATTATATGTGAGCTAGACCATCTCATAATATCTTCTATATTTTTTATCTTCTCTTATTTTTCTTTTTAATTCTCAGTGTTTTCTCTGACCTATCTTTTCATTTTACTCATTCTTTGACCGTGCCTAAACTGCCATTAAACTTGTCCATCAAGGGGCACTTGGGTGGCTCAGTAGTTGGGCATCTGCCTTTGGCTCAGGGTGTGATCCCAGGGTCCTGGGATCAAGTCCATATCAGAGTCCCCTCAGGGAACCTGCTTCTCCCTCCGTGTCTCTGCCTCTTTCTCTGTTTCTCTCATGAATAAATAAATAAAATCTTCAAACAAACAAACAAAAAACCCAAAACATTGTCCACTGAATTCTTAATTTTGGTCATTTTTTATTTTATTTTTATTTTTATTTTTTAAATGGGATTATTTTTTTTAATTTTTTTTTTAAATTTTTATTTATTTATGATAGTCACACATAGAGAGAGAGGCAGAGACATAGGCAGAGGGAGAAGCAGGTTCCATGCACCCAGAGCCCGATGTGGGATTCGATCCAGGGTCTCCAGGATCGCGCCCTGGGCCAAAGGCAGGCGCTAAACCGCTGCGCCACCCAGGGATCCCCCATTTTTTATTTTAGAATTTGTTTGGTTCTTATTAAATTTTATGTCACCCTTTGTCCTGTAGTTCTCTGCTGATATATTTTTTCTTTTTTAAAATAAACTCAACCTCCAACACGGGGCTCAAACTCACAACCCTGAGATCAAGAGTCACACACTCTACTGATACTTTCAGTCTTGATTTTTATTTCCTTAGCATAATGTGTAATGCTGTATCTGACAATTCTCATAAAGTCTTTGTGCACATGTTCTGATTTGTACTTGTAATGCTTTTTTCCTTGTGTGACTATTTAGTTTTTTAAAAAAACTAAAACATTTACTTCATGTAAATGGAGTCACACGTAATATACCTTTTATGTATCTGGCTTCTCTTCCTCAATGTTATGTGTATGTGACTTATCCATAATATTGTTCATAGCTGTAGATTTGTTCATTTTTATTGCCGTATAGTATTCCAGCTTTGAATTTATCTTGCCTATAATATATGGAAAATTATTTATAGAAAAAAATTGAGACCTGGGATGATGGTATCATCTTCCAGATGTTACCAGAAACAGATGGACTCTTTCTCCTGATCCCTGATGGGAGAGTCTACTAGTAGGAGACTAATTAAAATTTAAGGCTTGAGGGACGCCTGGATGGCTCAGAGGTTAAGTATCTGCCTTTGGCTCAGGGCGAGATCCTGGAGTTCCGGGATTGAGTCTCACATTGAGCTTACTGCATGGAGCCTGCTTCTCCCTCTGCCTCTGTCTCTGCCTCTGTCTCTGTGTGTGTTTTTCATGAATAAATAAATAATCTTTTAAAAAATAAAATAAAATTTAAGGCTTGAGGTTTTGTTGGACCACTCAGATAAATGATACAAAGCTGGACTGTATTTTGCTTTTACGACTACTTGCATTTACTTCTAGTTTACCCTTATTCTGAAAGTGTAGCCCTTTGGAGTCCCTGCTTAAAGTAGGGGTGTTATTAGAATCCCTATCTTTGAGGGACCCTGGGTTGTGGCTGCTGCTCTCTAGTCAAAGCCTAGGATGTTGACAAAAGAGCAGCTCAGGGGTGCGGGGTGCTACACCAACAGGGCCAAAAAAAGGGCCAACTGGTCAGAATGCTTGTACCAGTGAGGCCTTGTGGGATGTGCAGTACCACCTGTGGTACTGCCCTCCTATGTGGTCAGGCATTGGATCGAAGAAGAAGTCAGATGCTGTTGTGGTCAGGGTTGCTACCTGGCCTATATGTCTCTAGCCAAGCGAGGACTCACTAGTCTGCTTATCTGCTTCTCATTCCAGCCTCATTCAGTGGTTTGAGACAGCACCAAGTCGGACCTGCCCACAGTGCCGAATCCAGGTGAGGGCAGTGGGGTGAAAACACCTCAGCTGAAGACATCTTTTTCCTTGCCAGGGAGTAGGAATAAGGAAAGATCTCTGAAACTGAACAACATCTTTGACCTTTTTGGACCGTCATGGTTTGAGGCTGATTAAGCCTTGTGCTTTTGAGTGGCTCAGGAGGCCCACTTATGCCCAAGAGTAACTGGCAGAGGGACTTGTTGCGTGGGCTGGTCTTCACCTAGGTAAATTTGTCCTCCTTCCTTGCCTTTCCTCATCCTCAATGCCCAGTATCTAGAGTTGGGATATCTTTTGAACAGTTACCACATGGGTCTGTGACATGACTTTAGTAACCACCAAACCAGTGGCACCAGCTGGGGCTACCTATAGGGTTACAGAACTCATCTCATTCCAAGGGATGTGCTGTGAAAAGCTAGGCCTGATAACAGGCCTGGTCACATGGTAGGTGCATGTACATCCCTGTCCTCCTTACACATGACCCAGCTATACAGTCATACTCTATCTTGTCCTTCCATCCAGGTTGGCAGAAGAACCATTATCAATAAACTCTTCTTTGACCTCGCCCAAGAGGAGGAGAATGTCTTAGATGCAGAATTCTTAAAGGTACCTGGGATTTATGTCATTCTACTGAACTCCAAGCCCTCTGAGAATTTACTTTCTGCTCCCACCCAGGGTGGGTATGTAGACGGTGAAGATGGTATCTGGAGGGAGATTTGTAGAGGTTTCAAGGCAGAGGGGAGTAGAGCAGAGGAAAAGTGATGACAAGACCTGGTCATTGGAGAAATACACTGTTAGGGAAGAAAGGAGCCATGTGACTATGAGCCTTCTCCCTTGGGATTTCAAAGCAATTCTCACCAAAGGCCCTAGTGTCTCTCCCAAGATTCTTTAACCTTGCAGAGGTTCTATGGCCATCTTTCCCAGCCCACTATGCTGCTTGGACAATTAGAGACAGATTAGAAATTCTTCTAGTCCTCTGCCAGGGAAGATGTGTAGACCCACTATTCACAAATCTGGCTGTGCCTCAAAACTGTGAGGAAGCTTGGTATATATGCAGATGCCTGGGTCTTTCCCAGACCAGGAATAGAGGGTAGAACCCTTGGAATCAGGATGTAAGCCGGGGTAGAAACCCAGGGGAGAGTGGGTGGATTCTCTCCTACACTTCTTCCCTTCAAGTCCAATATTTAACTTCCTTTGTGCACCAGGGGGCTGGATTGGCCACAGCTTCTTGAGCAAGTGGGGTTGGGGTTTTTAGTGTACCTGGACTCTGAGCATCTGGGCATCTGTCAGCCCAGGGTTCATTTGGCCTTGGCCCCAGGGTGTGGTGATGTCCTTGGAACCATACTGCTTCAAGAATGAAGAGCTTTTCTGTTTAAAGCCAACATATTCATCGTCATGGTAACTGCTCCTGGTTTTAAGCTGTGTCCTCTCTGTGATAAAGACAACAAAGGCAGCTCGTTTCTTTCTGGCTTTCAAACCCAGATCTAGGAGACAGAGAGGCAACATCTTGAGTAATTTGGAGAAAGGGCTTGCAGGCACCTTGCTTGGGTGTAGGAGCCAGGGAACCTGGGGGAGCTTTGAGTTGGTGTCAGTTTTCTGGTAGCCCATGTATGCCCTTCTCTACCCACCACTTGCATTTGAGGATGTTCTGCCTACACTAAACAGCCCAGCCAACAAAAGTCCTGGGTGGGGATTTTGACAGCAGGGCGCTTATCCATTTACTGAGACTGGGCTTTAGTACTGGTCACATGTGAAATTCTGAGTCTTGTATTGACCTAGAAAGGGTGACCTGGAGGAAGATTTGCCTGGATTCCACCCAGCTACCACCATGAACCCTTGGCCAAGGCTTTCATTTCTGCAGTGCCTGTTTTTCCTGCTTATGGAAAGCCTCTTTTGCCTATGGGCGTGTTGGACTCCTGAATGGGAACTGGGCTCAGTTCAGCCCTAGCCTCTAGGTGGCAGTGGCTCTGTAATTTATACACGGGCTTTGAGAGGTTCATTTGACCCTCATGATAGTATGGTTAGAGCCCCACATGAGGTTTCATCCAAAGACACAAAGTTGTCCCCATTTACCTACCTTATTAGGGTTGGAAGATTTGTGGTGCAAAAAGACAGCTTAGAGCGTGGAGAGAAGTAGACTGTGAAGTAAGCAGGACCCGGGGTGAAAGGAAGGAGTGGTGACCCAAGGTCCTTGGTCATCCCAACTCTGTGTCCCCAGTGAGTGCAGCTGAAGCCAGGAGAAGTTAAGGGCCAGCACAGGGCCACGGAAGTGATGGAAGCCTCTGCTGTGAGACTGACCACACAGGTCCCACTTTACTTCTCTTGCCCTTGTTCTGCCTCTTTCCCTGTCGCAGGGTCTTGTACTTGAGATTTTTTTCCCTCCATCTTACCTACTTTTAAAAAAAGTATAGAGAAAGCAAGGCATGTCTCTTCACTGTTGGCTTTGGTTGGCCGTGACATATAGCAGGGTCTTTGCCTCCCTGGACCTACAGGCCTCATTGTCCCCTCATGGGTCTTCCTGCAAGCCTTCCAGGATTCTGTGTGGAAGCCAGGTATGATCCCTTTCTGCTTCTTTTTTTTTTTTTTAAGAATTTATTTATTTATTCATGAGAGACACAGGCAGAGGGAGAAGCAGGCTCCACGCAGGGAGCCCGACGCCGGACTCGATCCCAGGTCTCCAGGATCAAGCCCTGGGCTGAAGGCGGCATTAAACCGCTGAGCCACCAGGGCTGCCCCCTTTCTGCTTCTTATTGTGGATATTGCCTTGTAGAATGAACTGGATAATACCAGAGCCCAGCTTTCCCTGAAAGGTGAGTTAGTAAGAGACAAGGGGCCCTGGGAAGCCCCTGACCTAGGTGCTTGGGGAATTCTGGTGGAGCTAGGGGCTCTCCCTGCTTTGTATATCCAAGAGTTTTGCCAGGTCTTGTGATTGGCAGGAAAGGAGGGAGAGGGAGGTGCCTCAAGCTGTCCACCTACGCTGATGAGCTTCTTCTCTGAGGCTTCCTGCCCAGGACTGAAGCTGGGAGGGGGTTACCTAATGGGACAGAGTATTTCTAGGAGAGGGTTTGGCTACTGAGTTTGGCAGGAACTCTGCTTGGGTTCTAAGATAATGAATTAACTAGACCCACAGGAGTGGGGAGCAGTGAAATCTTTACTCAAGTAGTTCTAAGCAGCAGAAAGAGGGTCTCATCCCTTGAATGAAGAAACTCTGGCTTAGCTTCCCTGGTTTAGTGCGGCCAGAGAGAAGCAGGCCTTCCAACTTCTGACCTGAACTTGTTTCTTACCTGGCTCTAGGGTGGGGTGCTAGAACCCAAGGGCTCAGGTTTTATGCTGATGGGTTAATGGGCCTTTCACCTTCCTGCCCCTGCTCCAGAGAAGGAGAAAAAGGACAGCCAAGCCATCATCGACACGCTGCGCGATACGCTGGAAGAGCGCAATGCCACTGTGGAATCTCTACAGAGTGCCTTAGACAAGGCTGAAATGCTATGCTCCACCCTCAAGGTGGGTCACCAGGTCTTGTGGGCAAAAGTTGGTTGGGCTTATCTTCTGGCTCTGCCTTGGTCATTACCTTAGATTGTACGATTATAAGATGGAGGCAAACCCCTTCTTCCTGAGGCCTCTCATATCATACTCTTTAAGCCTCTAAGCAAAGGACTGTATTGGCTGCACTTAAGGATTTTGTATTAGGTAGTCTGAAGAGGTGAGGCCTTCCCAGTGCTTCTTGGAGGGCCAGCTCAGCTAAGACCTCAGTGAGACTGGACCTTGTTTCCAAAAGTGGTTTGTACTCCACGGATGAAGCCAGACTGAAGAACCTTCCATTAGCACTCTAGTCCTTGGCTGGGCTGCTCTCTGGAGCCAGATCAAACAGCATCCCAAGGAGGAGCAGGGGGCCTTTGAAGTCAGCTGTGCTAAGCTGACCAGGCAGATCAAAGCCTGCAAAGCAAGCAGCTCTAGACCCAGATGAATTTTGTATCAGCCTGGGTTCGTGAGCCTCTTGCTCTCTAAGGGGCATGAGGTGATTGATCTGTACCCACAATTGATATTCTGGCCTCTTAAGAAGGAGCGGTGCTTGCTGGATGCCATTTAAAAAGGAAAGGAAGCCATCTTTGTGAATACAGAGCCCCAGGGTATTCGTTGTCTCTGTTCCTGCATGGTGCTGGGCTGGATCACATGGCCTGGCCAGTGGGAGGGAAGGAGTGAATCAGTACCTGGTTGCAGAGCAGGAGTCTTTGATGGCATTCCCAGGTCAGAGATGGAGTGCTTTTGTGCTAAGGGCACCCTGGCCAGCTGCCTCTGGTTGAGCTCTCCTATCCTGATTGGTAACTGTCCATGGGTCTAGGTGGTGGGTAATGATACCTAGATTTGTGTTTATTCAGCTTCCCATACAATATGCACCATGAGCCCTTAGCCACAGGACCTTGGCAGCCCACAGTGGGCCTCTAGATAGTGGCAGTGGGATGTGCCTGTGGTAAGACATATCTCAGGAGGAAGCAAGCAGGGAGATGAGGAAGCAGTTGGCGTAGGGCCCCATAGCAGAAAAAGCACAAGACAGAGTGGGGCCCAGGAGCCTGCCTTCCTGGAGGCTTGGGATGCATGGTTATTAGCATTTGGAAAAGAAGACAATGCTAGAGTAGAGTTCTCAGGATGACTTTAGCCATGGTCCCTAGGATCCTCTAAGCAACAGGTAGGCATGGGTGTGTTTGCCCTTCAGAAGCAGATGAAGTACTTGGAGCAGCAGCAGGATGAGACCAAACAAGTGCAAGAGGAGATGCGCCGACTCAGAAGCAAGATGAAAACCATGGAGCGGTGAGCTTGGAGCAGGGGACTGCTCTCTGCCTTTGCTTCTATGGCCCCCAGGTGGCCCAACTCTTAGGACTGCAGTAGGGGTTGGGTCACTTTTGTGGCTCAGATCTCCATAGGCCACATGGGGCTCAGGCTAGCAGGGTGTGGGTCCAGGTCTCCTTGCTTGGCTTCCATGGGGGATGTTGCCTCACTCCTACCTGTTCCTGTTGCCTGTGGCCCAGTGACCTGGCAGGTCTTTTGCTCCAGAAACCTTTCTTCAAGGACCCCTGACCTTGAGGACCTATCAGCATCCATTCTTCCCCAGCAGCATCCCTGCAGCTGTGTTTAGCTCTACTGTGGGGCCTTTCTTTGGGTAGACCTGCCTGCTAAAGCATGCTGGCAGGCCAGGCTGTCACCATAGCAACAGCAGCAAAGGAAAGCAGAGCTGCACTGGGTACCTACCCATCAGCCTCCGGATTTTAAATGCCGTGGGCTGGGTGTTTTTCAGGATTGAGCTCCTACTCCAGAGCCAGAGGCCCGAAGTGGAGGAGATGATCCGAGACATGGGTGTGGGACAGTCAGCGGTGGAGCAGCTGGCTGTGTACTGCGTGTCCCTCAAGAAGTGTGTACTCTGGCCCCTCTGGCCCAGTCCAGGAGCTAAGCCATGGCACCCTCTCTGTCTGCTGCTCATCTCTTATAAAGCAGAGCAGGCAGCGTGAAGGGGCGAGCTTGGGAGCTATGGTGCCTCAGGTTGAACCCTGACCCCACCTCTCACCGTGTGGCCTGGAGCCAGTTTCTTAGCTTCTGACCCACAGCTTCCTGAATGGAGATAGTAATAACTTTCCTCATAGGGTTATCAAGAGAACAGGTGTGAATATAAGTTATTTCTAAGAAGGTTGGCACCACTTTCTGACCTATAAGCCCATGATGATGAATGGAGCCCGTTTCTCATCAACACTTACCGACTCTGCCTGACCTGCATCAGAAATTTGGCTCAGATTCTCTACTATTGTGGATGTGAGGTTGGGGTAAGGAAGCCACTTGGCTGAGAGACACGGAGGATCCCAGATGTCTTCTGTGAGGGCCACGTGGTCTAGGGGGCCTCCCTGTGAGCCTTTAGTGAGGGCAGGGCTTCCTGCACACCCTCTCAAATCACCAGTGCCTGTGGAACAGGCAGGGAATAGAGACTCCCAGCTCTCCTTGCAGGACCCTCTGTGGCACCACCCTGTTGGGCTCAGGTGTCAGAGTTGGAATGAGAACTGGCTGAGGGGACAACCTGGGCTTTGTGTGTGTTTGGTGCTCTCATGCAGTGTGACCACTGGGTGTCCCATTCTGACATCTCTTTTCCTGGCCCCCTCATAGAGAGTATGAGAACCTTAAAGAGGCACGGAAGGCCTCAGGGGAGCTGGCTGACAGACTGAAGAAGGACTTGTTTTCTTCCAAAAACAAGGTAACAGTGGGGGCAGAAGGGGAGGGAGAGGTGGCTTCCTTTTGTCCTGCTCGTTCCTGTCTCCCGAGCAAAGCCATGGGGCCTGATGTGCAACAGACTGCATGGGGCTGTTGGGTGATTCAGAGAGACTGCTTACTGGGCCTTGGCTCTGGCTTTGTGGCTTGTCCACTTAGGGTGGCAGGTCATGCAGGTATCCCCCTCCCCCCAGTGTATGCACACTTACGCTTCCTTCTATTCTTCCTGGCTCCTGGGTAACTCAACTGGCTGAAGAGCACAAGTCCCAAATGTGACAATGTCCAAGGCCTGTTTTTGTACCAGGCCCAGAGTAGGAGGAACATACTTGGAACCCAGTTCAGTCAGCACAGCTCTTTTATTTCTGGGACTGGTGCATCCATGGGCTGTCAGATATAGAACTCAGCCCTAGATCCTAGGCAACTCCAGATGGGCATTGACAGGCCCCACAAAGCCAGGGCCTCCCCATGTGTCCTCAGACTCTTCTGGACACTGGGTTCCCATGAACATGCACTGAGTAGAGCACGTGGCCACCTGCTGGCTTGTCCTTTACTGCCCATACTTTCTTATAGTTGCAGACAGTCTACTCTGAACTAGATCAGACCAAGTTGGAGCTGAAGTCGGCCCAGAAGGATTTACAGAGTGCTGACAAAGAAATCATGGTAAGGGACATCCCTGGCTAGACAGGAATGAGGGGTAGTTTGTGTGTCCTCCAAGAGCCTAGGAGCCTCTGCCCCAGTCTGTGTTGGTGGTTCTGGGTTCCCTGCATCCTCCTGAGCCAGAGTGGGTCAGGATGTATACCTTGACTCTGATTTGGAGTCCCTAGACCTCCTCAGTAGGGGATAGGCAGCACCATGGGTCTTCTACAATCTGTCCTGTATCTATATCCCTAGGGATAGAACCTCATCAAAGGAGAGGCTTCACCAGAGAGGGGTTCTGAGGCTGGGTGATCCTGGCCTCCTGAGCTTGATGTTGGGGGTTTAGGCCTTGCTCTGTTCCCAGTGTGCTTACCTGTCATGCATGTTGTTCCCACCCTTGGCAGTCTCTCTGGACTTGCTGCCCCAGCCTTGCTTTCACGCTCTTCTCTTTCCTTCCCCAAGAGCCTGAGAAAAAAGCTAACGATGCTACAGGAAACCCTGAACCTGCCACCAGTGGACAGTGAGACTGTCAACCGCCTGGTTTTAGAGAGGTTTGTTGACCTTCTGGGGTGGTGCAAGGGTCATAAGCTAGAAGAACTCCCTAATAAGGGTTTTCCCTACTCTTGACTTTGGTTGGGTGAGTGGTCCATGTGGGCCTGAAGGCTGTGGGCCTCCTGCCCTGGGACATAGCCAAGATTTAGTTGGAAAACAACTTCGAGGTAAGTTCTGGGCTCTGACAAGGAAAGGCCAAGGTAGGCCAAAGAGGACCTCGGGATAGGCACGGAAGGGTCAGGAGCATTGACTGTCTGCAGGCATCCTGTTTCTGCATTTCTTACCAAATGCATCTCTGTGCCCCAGATTCTGAAACAAACATGAAACCAGTCACCAAAATAATTCCCCACTGGTCTTAGGACTGTGTGCATTAAAGCTGCCGGCAGAGGGAGCCAAAAGGCAGAGGGATGAATATCCCTACCCCGACTGGCTGAGCATTCCTCTTGAGGGTTTCACAGAAGCCACGCCCACTGGCTAAGAGCATCTCAGGGCTGTCCTGCCTAGCTGTCCAGCTGATGGCCCTGACAGAAAGCACATAACCCAGTGGTCCAGGCTTTTATTTGAGCCACTTCTCAGTGTCCTTTGGAAAATCATTATGCTTCTTCTTCCCGACATCCAGTTGCTGGAATCTATCCATCTAACCCTTGCGGGTGCCTCCTGATTCTATCCCTTGCCACCACCTCCCCATGAGGCTTGTGACCCATCCTCTCACTCCTCCTGCCTGCCCAGCTTATCAGCCCTTGGGGCTTCACGTCATTCCTACCCCCACCAAACACTCTAGACCTCTTGGCACTGTGTCTGAGACATTCCCAGAGCCAGCCCATGAATGGTAGTCGATCTTTAGGCCTTGGCCAAATCATACTGTTTGACACAGCAGAATATACCTTGCCTTCCTGCTTTTGTGCCTTTCTCTATGTCAGCTCCTGTGAACACAAAAGGGTCAGTTGCCCTGCAGAGCCTTACCTACCCTCCTCAGCAGGAGTAAGTGCACCCTCCTCTGCACAGGTGATATTTATTTAGATACTGTGTCAGATGCCATGGGCCATAGAGGTGCTCTAGAGTCTTACCAGAGCCTGGGCCACCTAATATGTAGACTGGGAGCTGCATCTTGATCTGTGTTCCTTACCACTGGCTTCCTTACACATACATTCTTTTCCCCACATCATAGTACCTGGTCAGCATCTGCACAGGGGAATGAGTGCCAACAAGCCAGTTTCCTCTCATCCTCATTGTACCTTTAGTTCCTCAACTCTCTCCTTTCTTACCTTAGACCCTCCAGTGTCTTTTTATGGAGCCAGAGCTCCCTGCCCACCTCAGTTTGGGTTGGACTGAGAAACGGCTGTGGAAATGTGATGAGCATGTGATTCTCTGTGAGGTCCAGTGTGTTGCTGATTTTGACAAAGTAGATTCCATGTCTGGTCCTTCTCCCCCACTCCACCCTCAGAGACCATTAGCCATGCTGGCCTGGAAGCCCCAGGTAGCACAAGGGCTCTGTCAGGAGCTTGGCTCATAGGAAGCTGAGAGTCTCAAAGACCATCTCATGTGGTCAGACATTTAGAACTGGAGCTGCCTCAATGCCAGAAGTAGAAATTATTTTCCTAGGCTATCACTCAAGGCTGATTTCTACAAGCTCCAAGGTGCTCTGTCCACTTCCCACTCCGTGCACCTCACGGTATTTCCACACACTTGCACTCTGTGTCTGGCCTCCACAGTGAGGGATGTCTCTAGGCTGCCAGGGACTTCGCATACCTGCTTTTGCTTACTTTCTTTACCACTTTTCACCAGAGTAAAGCCTAGACTTCTATAACAAGTTCTTACTGAGGGCGTGCTGCATGTCGGGCCCTCTCAGTCCTCTTGGAGCTTATTATGTTCCAGGGGGTAGACAAACTACAAGGTTAGATGGCCAAGCCCTAAACCTCCCCAGCCACACACCATGGCAGGCCAAATTCCATGACAAGGGAAGTCAAGCTTGTGCCATTTGTATTTAGAGGCTTGAGTGAGGGGTGAGCCCTGGCTCTCAGGGCTGGGGCACACCAGGGCATGGTGGAGGGTAGGGTGTTATGAGGTTTGTTGACCCTTGAGGGTGGTAGATAGTGGCAGAGGACTTGCTTGATGATGGCCGAATTAGATAATGGCCAAATAACAGACATTACAAAAATGCTGCCATGAGTGCTTCTGGCTGCTGCTTTATGCTGGGAGCCAGAGACAGAAGCAAAGCAACCAGCATGGCATTGGTTTGTTTTTCTTTTTTTTTTTTTTAAAGATTTTATTTATTTATTTATTTATTCATGAGAGATACAGAGAGAGAGAGAGGCAGAGACACAGGCAGAGGGAGAAGCAGGCTCCACGCAGGGAGCCCGACGTGGGACTCGATCCTGGGTCCCCAGAGTCACGCCCTGGGCTGAAGGCGGCACTAAACCGCTGAGCCACCCAGGCTTCCCATGGCATTGGTTTTGAGGTAGCTTTGTGCAACCTTTGTTTTCACTTGCAGGCAAGAAGGGGCAGGCCCAGGGACCTGACCAGGGAAAGGAAGAGATAGTCCAAGCTTCCCACATTGCTTATTGTTGCAGGTAGTTCCCTTTCCTCCAATCTGCGTGCCCTACTGGGCTGCTGGCTGGAGACTAATACCCTCATAGTGCATCCTTCTGTCCTTGAGCTGTGGGAGCAAGGCTTTGGGCAACCCTGATGGAAAGGTCCCTAAGGAAAGGAAATAGAGGATGTTCTTGGGGCTGCACTGCCACTCCCCAGAGTTCTCTGACCATAGGAGCTAGGGAGCCCCACCAGGCCTGGGTAGGCTAGAAAAATCCTAGTGGCTGCAATTTTCTAATAGAATACCACTGCCACCCCCACCCCCACCCTCTGCCTTTATAAAAGTACTAACATATTCATTGTTGAGAATTTGGAAAATACGGACTTAGCAAAGAGGTCGTTGTTGAGTGCGACCACAGTTCAGTGGCATTATGTACATAATGTTGTGCTATCATCTCTACCAGGCACCTCCAGAACGCTTTTCATCTTGAAATACTGAACCTCTGTACTCATTAAATAATAGCTTCCATTTTCCAGCCCCTGGGACCCACCATTCTACTTTCTGTCTCTATGATTTTGACTCCTCTAAATACCTCATGTAAGTGGAATCATATGCCATTTGTCTTTTTTGTGACTGGTTTACTTTCCGTAACAAAATCCTCAAGGTTCATCCATGTTGTAGCAGGTGCCAGTATTTCCTTCCTTTTTATTTTTTATTTTTTAAAGATTTATTAATTTTTTAAAAAAGATTTTTATTTTTTTAAAATTTTTAAAATTAATTTATTTATTTATGATAGTCACACAGAGAGAGAGAGAGAGGCAGAGACACAGGCAGAGGGAGAAGCAGGCTCCATGCACTGGGAGCCCGACGTGGGATTCAATCCCAGGTCTCCAGGATCGCGCTCTGGGCCAAAAGCAGGCACTAAACCGCTGCGCCACCCAGGGATCCCAGATTTTTATTGATTGATGAGAGACACAGAGAGAAAGAGGCAGAGACACAGGCAGAGGGAGAAGCAGGCTCCATGCAGGGAGCCCGATGTGGGACTTGATCCCAGGTCTCCAGGATCACGCCCCTGGCTGAAGGTGGCACTAAACCTCTGAGCCACCGGGGCTGCCCTTAAGATTTATTTATTCATGAGAGACAGAGAGAGGCAGAGACATAGACAGAGCAGGCTCCCCACAGGGAGTCCTATGTGGGACTTGATCCCTGAGCTCCAGATCATGCCCTGAGCCAAAGACAGATGCCCAACAGCTGAGCCACCCAAGTGCCCCTCCTTCCTTTATAAAGCTGAATTATCATTCATACAGGGAATATAAAAAATAGTGAAAGGGATTAAAGGGGAAAGGAGAGAAAATGAGTGGGAAATATCAGAGAGGGTAACAGAACATGAAAAACTCCTAACTCTGGGAAACGAACAAGGGGTGGTGGAAGGGGAGATGGGCAGGGGAACAGGGTGACTGGGTGATAGGCATTGAGGGGGGCACTCGATGGGATGAGCACTGGGTGTTATACTATGTGTTGGCAAATCGAACTCCAATAAAAAATATACAAAAATAAATAAATAAAGCTGAATTATATTCTATTGTATGTATATACCACATTTTTAAAAAGATTTTATTTATTTATTTATGAGAGACACAGAGAGAGGCAGAGACAGGCAGAGAGAGAAGCAGACTCCATGCAGGGAGCCTGACGTTGGTCTCGATCCCGGGTCTCCAGGATCACGCCCTGGGCTGAAGGCGGCTCTAAACTGCTGGGCCACCAGGGCTGCCCCTATATACCACATTTTGCTTGTACATTTGCTGGTGGATGGACATTTGGGTTGCTTCCACCTTTTAACTATTGTGAGTATGTGGCTATGAACGTGGCTGTGCAAATAATCTCTTTGAGATCCTGCTTTCATTTCTGGATATATAACCAGAAGTGGAATGGCTGGATCATATGGTAATTCTATTTTTTATTTTTTGAGGAACTGCTGTACTATTTTGTACGGCGGATGTACCATTTTACATTCCCACCAATAGTGCACAAGGATTCCAATTTTTTTTTTTTTTGGTAAGATTTTTTTTTTTTAAGTAATCTCCACATCCAATTGGGGCTGAAACTCATGATCCCAAGATCAAGAGTCTCCTGCTCCACCCGGTGGGCCATCTGGGCATCCCAGTGTTCCAATTTTACCACATCCTCACTAACACTTGTTATTTTCTGTTTGTTTGGGTCTTTGTTGTTGTTTATAGCAGCCATCCTAATTGGTATGAAGTAGTAGCTCATGGAAGTCTTGATTTGAATCACCCTAATGACTAGTATCATTGAGCATCTTTTTGTGGGCTTACTGGCCATCAGTAGATCTTTTGGAGAAAAGTCCATTCAAGTCCTGTGCCCAGTTATGAACTGGGTTGTTTGTTTTCCATTATTGAGCTTCAGTTCTGTCTATATTTTGGATTTTAGTCTTTTATGGAGAGGTGATTTGCAAATAGTTTCTCCCATTCTGTGGATTACCTTTTTACTCTGTAGACAGTGTCTTTTTTTTTTAAGATTTTATTTATTTATTTATTCATTTATTCATTTATTCATTTATTCATTTATTCATTCATTCATTTATTCATTTATTTATTTATTTATTTATTTATTTATTTGAGAGAGAGAGTGTGTGTGTATGGGGGCAGCAGGGAGAAGAACAAGCAGACTCTACACTGAGCCTAGAGCCTGATGGAGGGCTCAATCCCATGACCCCAAGATCATGATCTGAGCCAAAACCAAAAGTCAGATGCTCAGCTGACTGAGCCATCCAGGTGCCCTGACAGTGTCTTTTGATGCACACAATTTTAAATTTTTTTGAAGCCCAACTAGTCTGTTTTTTCTTTTATCACCTGTTATACACAGAGTTTCATATTACTTTTTAAATGTAACATATGAGCATTTCCCCCATGTTATTAAGTTTACACTCTGGAAACACTATTTTAATTTCTGCATCATATTCAAGCTGTGAAAGTGTCAGCCCCCTAGGGGAGTCATTTGACCATTTCCAATATTGTGCCATTTGCCATTCATGCCAGTCTGTGGTCACATCTCTGACTGCCCCTTGCTCTGCGTTCTGATAAATGAAGCTGTTTTGTCAAAAGGCAGTAGCCTTTTGTTTGTATGCTTAGGTTTTGTGTGTGTTTTGCTTGCTTGCTTGCTTCCTTCCATGTTTTGAAGACTTTCACTGGTCCCATGACTGTGTGAAGCACTAAGCCGAGTGATTTTTTTCTGTAGAGAGTCAGACTTCTTTGCAGGGTGGCCCTGAGCCACCTGTGAGTTCCAGACCCCTGGAACCAAGCCATCTCTGACGCTTCAGGGCTATTGTCCTTCTGGACTGCCACGGTGGTCCAGAGTAACCAGGCCATCTCTGCCTATAGCCCAGCCCCTTTGGAGATGCTGAGCCTGAAGCTTCGGCGACCAGCCTTCGGTGATGACATTGACCTCAATGCCACCTTTGATGTTGACACCCCTCCAGCCCAATCTTCCAGCATCCAGCATGGCCGTGCCAAGAAGTTCTGCCAAGAGATAGCACAGTAAGTGGTAGTCCCTGTCCCTGTTCACATCCTCAGGGGAGGATGACCAAGAGATCTCTGCAGGCCCTGCCCTTGTCACTCCAAGTGGCTGACAGGGCAGTGAGGGTCAGCTGGGGTTGGCCTTGACTTTGGTTCTGACCACCTCTTCTTCCCACTCTTGAATACTCTGCACAAAGCATTTTTCTTGCTTGTTTCAATTACCACTCTCACCCTTCAAGCAAAGGTGTTGTGATGTGAGTTGGAGAGAACAGGGGTTCCAGTAGGGGCAGATCTAGGTTGGTGATGGGGGGTGGTGTGTACTGTCTGTACCTTGAATGCCTGTCTACCAGTGTCCTGCCCCAGGGACTCTGAACGTCCTCTTCCATCGTGCACCTCTTGGGCTCATGCATAAGGACTACCTCAAATCATTGAGCCCAGTTCCCCACCAAGGGGGTGTCCCACAGGACCAGGCTTAAGAAGCTAGGTGGCGCTGTAGTGGGATGGGTGGGGCCTGCTCCAGGGGCCCAGTAGACTGGGAATGGGGAAGTTGTCTGCTTGGGCAGGCAGATTAAATATGGTTCATCAGGGAGACAAGAACTCCTCCTGTACATACATGTAGGTAAATGCTGCTTGGGTAATGGGGTCAAGGGTTGAGTGGGTTTCCTCTTAATCAAGAGTTTGGACATGAGAGAAAGAAATTGAGGTGTTCGGCAGTAAAGGTGGAAGAAGCCTGGGGAGAGGACAGCAGGCTCTCCACCTCTCCCTGCCCTCAGGGCTGGAGGCACCTGTGTCATACAAGGCAGGCTAGGTAGCGGTGGAAAACAAACCTTGGGCATATGGGCTGTGGTCAAGGGACCTATGAGTGCCTGCTGCAAGCCCTGGCTTCTTCATGTTTTCTCTTTAGCTGTAAAGAGTGAGACAATCTTTATCATCTTTAGGGGCTTTGAGGGAATGTGAGGGAGCCCAGGATGCTTCCACCTTGAATCAGCCTCCCCAGGGTCAAGCTTGGAGCAAGTGGAGAACCTTCCCATGGTCATCATGTAGCCTCACTACAAGCTATGGGCGCAGGGGAGGAGGTGTCCAAAGCTGACGGGCCCAATCTTGCCCTTGTCCTCATGGCTTTGAGAAGCCACAGGGTCAGCTTTAGGTTGACCCAGGGTCATCCTTCTACCCAACTGGGAAAATACCAGGAGAAGGTATTCAGCTGCTAGTGTACCCAGGAATGGGATAGAAACACTGTGTCTAGTTCTAGAGCTGGGAGTGAAAGGCCAGGGCTTTGGGCTATGATCAATTCTGCCCCAGACCCTGCCTGCACAGATTATCTAGAAAGATGGCCTAGCCCTGTGTTGTGAGAGCACTTTATGAGCTATCTACTGAGGGTCTTATGGAGGTAGTGGCCCCACTCTGGGCAGATGGGGCTAAGTCTGAGCTCATGAGGTGCCTTCTGCCTGTATGGGACATGACTGATTTTTTTTCCTGTGGGTGGTGAATCAGCTAGGCCTCCAGCCTCACATAAAGCCCAAGACACTGTGAGGTGTCTGAGGCATTGGGGCTAAGGGCCCCATTGGAATGGGCTCAGCTCCAAGCTAAGAGCCGCAAGATTGGAAAGTTGCACAATTTCCCCTGCCTCCTCCACTCTGGCAGCTGTCCAGCTGTTCCCAAACCTGCACTTGGGATGGGGCTTACTGAGATGCCTTGCCCAGCACACAGCCTTTACAGAAGCCATGCCACATGCTGGCTCCCCAGGGGCCATGTGCTGAGCCTGGCTTGCCTGGCCCCGTGTCTTGCTCACCTGCTTGCCTTCATGTCTCATTCTCGCAGCTCTCCCATTCAGGACATCCCCAAGAAGATGCCTAAAGGCCCCAAGCAGGTAAGAATTCAGGCAGCCACCATCCTTTGCCAGGACTCTGTGTGAAGCTGGGCTTCTGAGAGGGCAAGGTCTCTCACTCCTGGCCTGGGAGTAAAACACTTTGGAGCCACCCTGGAAACTCTACTCATTATCCTTCCAGCCTCTGGGTAAGGGGTGAGACATCAGAGATTCTGGCCCTGCTCCACCACCACTACCCACCCCCTCCTTTCCTGCCGTCGGGCTCCTCAAGTCTGGCTTTGGGGTCTCCCCTCCAGGAGTCCCAGCTCTCACTGGGCGGCCAGCGCTGTGTGGGAGAGCCAGATGAGGAGCTAGCTAGTGCCTTTCCTGTCTTTATCCGGAATGCTATCCTAAAACAGAAACAGCCCAAGAAGGCCAAGATAGAGCCCTGCCGCAGCACAGATGCAGTGAGTATGGCTTCCCACAGGGGCAAGTGCCAGCCCTCTCTGGGGTGGGAGTGGAGGTACAGGGAAGAGCCAGCCCCCTGGCCTATCAGCTTGGCCCACTCACTTCTTCCTTCTACTTTAGGTGAGGACAGGCTTCGATGGGCTTGGAGGTCGGACGAAATTCATCCAACCTGTATCCTTGTTCTGTGACATTGGGCTGAGTTGAGCTACCCACACCATCTCTCACCTGTACCCCCAGCCCCCAGCCTGGCAGTGGCTGTAGCCTCAGGTGTGCAGAGCCGGACCTCGTTCAGTATAGCAGAGCTGCCCACCCCTCAAGTCTAAGCCTTTGCTGTCTCCTCTTTAAGCCTCTTCCTTGACATCTTCCTCAGACTGACACAACTATGATCCGCCCACTGCCTGTGAAACCCAAACCCAAGACTAAGCAGAGAGTTGGGGCGAAGACAGTGCTCCCTCCCTCCCAGGCCAAGCTGGACACCTTTCTGTGGTAGTGAGAACAGTGAGCCAGATCGATATCCAGATATATGCCTCTAACTTATAGGTCAGGACTGGCTCAGCAGGGGGCTTGGGGGGCATGACCTATCTTCCAAGACAGTCCCAAGGGCAAGTGTAAACAAAAAGGTGGGGCCCAAAGACTGTGCTTTCCTGCACTTACCCTGCCCACCCCCACCATACTGGGTCTGCTATACCAGGCCTACATGTGACTGCTGATGTGAGACCAGCAGGACTTCTTCCTTGTCAAAGTTTCCTACTTATAGCCAGATATGGCTGCGTGCTTCTGGTTCTCCAGACTAAGGTCTTTTGCTGACTGTGAACCAAAGTGCTTGGGGCTTCTTGGGTAGTTTCAGCTTGCCCAAGCTTGTGCCTACTTCTGACTTGCTGCTGGGCATGGCCAGAGCTGAGCAGGATGGGGAATGAGGGGATGGTGGTGGGGAGAGGATGAGGAGGGAAAGATTTCTATGTAAAATAAAAAAGACTTTTCTTTCTGGCTCTGGGAGTATATATATATATATATATATATATTTGCACCAACATTTAGGAAAACATTTGGAATAATTTTCTAAAGTGAGACCTTCACCTGGGCTCAGACTCAGAAGTCCTACCCTTAGGCATGTGCCCCCTCATAGGGCACAAGGAGACTCCAGCAGGAATGAGATCACTGCAGTTTTGTCCACAGTCTCTAACATGGGCACAGCCCAAATGGCATGGTCTGGAAAGCAAACGGGTAAACAGGTATAGCCATACAGGGAATTCAGAGCAAGCAAAAATCAGTGACCTTTGAGTCTTAACTTCAAGAGCAATTTCCCTAGAAGACTTTCCTTCATGACCTGTAGCTTGGGTAAGGTCTGCTGCACTTTCCTTTCTCACTACTGCATGGGGGTATATCTGTCTCTGCAGGGCCCAGTGTGGGCCTGGCACAGGGAATGAAAGTGAGTGCCCTCATGCTTCAGGTTGAACATGCCCAGCTGTGCTGGAGGAGCATCATGGAAAGAAAGTAATGTATTGGGTTATGGGAGTTGGACCCCTCCTCTGCTACCTTGAACCAAGGAGGTTTGGTGTGGAGAAGTGTAGCATCAAGTTGAGGGTGTAGTCAGGGGCTGGGCTGGCTAATAGTGCTCCCTGCCAGCAAAGTGATCTTAGGCAATTTAGCCTCTCTGTGTCTCAGACTCTTTTTTTTTTTTTTAATTCATGAGAGACACACACACACACACACACACACACAGAGGCAAAGACACAGGCAGAGGAAGAAGCAGGCTCCATGCAGGAAGCCCAATGCAGGACTCCATCCCAGGTCTCCAAGATCACGCCCTGGGCTGAAAGTGGCGCTAGACCGTTGAGCCACCAGGGCTGCCCTGTCTCAGGCTCCTTAAAGTGGGGACAATAGGATTAACTCCCAGTTGTAGGAACCTGATGAATCAGCATTACAGGTTAAGAATTTATGACACCTAGGCAGCCCAGGTGGCTCAGCGGTTTAGCGCCGCCTTCAGCCCAGGGTGTGATCCTGGAGACCCGGGATCAAGTCCCATGTCAGGCTGCATGGAGCCTGCTTCTCCCTCTGCCTGTGTCTCTGCCTCTCTCTCTTTCTGTGTCTGTCATGAATAAATAAATAAAATCTTTTAAAAAAAAAAAAGAACTTATGACACCTAAGGAAATAAGTCAGGCTCAAAAGATAAATATTAAATATTGTATGATTCCACTTAAATGAAGTATCGAGAATGGGTAAATTCATAGAGAAGTGGAATAGAATAGAGGTTGCCAGGGGCTAGAGTGAGGAGAAAACAAGGACTTTTTGCTTAACGGTTAGAGAATTTCTGTCTGGGGTGATTTGTTTTCTCGCTACATAAATCGTTTCCCCCCTTTTAAAAGAATCCCAGGGATTCCTGGGTGGCGCAGCGGTTTGGCGCCTGCCTTTGGCCCAGGGCGTGATCCTGGAGACCCGGGATCGAATCCCATGTCGGGCTCCCGGTGCATGGAGCCTGCTTCTCCCTCTGCCTGTGTCTCTGCCTCTCTCTCTCTCTCTCTCTCTCTCTCTCTCTCTGTGACTATCATAAATAAATAAAAAAAAATTAAAAAAAAATCAAAAAGTAATTTAAAAAAAAATAAAAATAAAAAAATAAAAGAATCCCAGTATAGTTGGGGTGCCTGGGTAGCTCAGTCAGTTAAGTGTCCAACTATTGATCTCAGCCCAGGTCTTGATCTCAGGGTTGTGAGTTCAGGCCCCACTTCAGGCTCTAGGCTAGGCATGGAGCCTATTTAAAAAAAAAAAATTCAGGATCACCTGGGTGGCTCAGGGGCACCTGGGTGGCTCAATAGTTGAGCATCTGCCTTTAGCTCAGAGCATGATCCCAGGGTCCTGGGATCGAGTCCCGCATTGGGGTCCCCACAGGGAGCCTGCTTCTCTCGCTATGTTTCTGCCTCCCTCTCTGTGTCTCTCATGAATATATAAATAAAATCTTTAGGGCAGCCCCAGTGGCTCAATGGTTTAGCGCTGCCTTTGGTCCAGGGCATGATCCTGGAGACCCGGGATCGAGTCCCATGTCGGGCTCTCTGCATGGAGCCTACTTCTTCCTCTGCCTGTGTCTCTGCCTCTCTCTCATGGATAAATAAATAAAATCTTTAAAAATTCCAGGATATTTAACATATAGTGTCATATTAGTCTCAGCTATACAATATAGTGATTCAATACTTGCATGCATTTCTCAGTGTTCATCACAATAGGATGCCCTTTTTTTTTTTTTAAGCTTTTCTTTATCTTTTTGAGAGGCAGAGATAGAGCTCAAGCAGTGGGGAGAGGAAGAATTGGGCTTCCTGCGTGGGACTTGATCCCAGAAACCTGGGATCATGACCTGAGCCAAAGGCAGCTGCTTTACTGACTGAGCCACTCAGGCACCCTAATTAGGGTACTCCTGATCCTCTTCACCTATTTCACCCACCTTCCCTCTGCCTGGGGTGATTTTAAAGTTTTAGAACTAGGTAGTGGTAATGGTTACAAGTACCCAAACTATGGAAAGAGCCCAATGTCCACCAACTAATAAATGGATAAAGAAGATGTGGTATATATACACAATGGAATATTACTCAGCCATCAAAAAGAATGAAATCTTGCTATTCCCAAGGACATGGAAGGAGCTACAGTGTATTATGCTAAGCAAAATAAGTCAGAAATACCATATGATTTCACTCATGGGGAATTTCAGAAACAAAACATGAACGTATCGGGGTGGGGAAAGAGAGGGGAAAACAAACCATAAGAGACTTTTTTTTTAAAAAGATTTTATTTATTTATTACAGAGAACGTGAGCAGTGGTGGGGGAGTGGGGAGGGTGGAGGGAGTGGGAGATGCAGACCCCCATTGAGCAGGGAGCCCAACAGCTCGATCCCAGGACCATGAGACCATGACTGACTAACCCACCCACACACCTCACTAAAGACCTTTAGAGAACAAACAGGATTGAGGGGGTGGGCTAGATGAGTGATGAGCATTAAGGAGGGCACTTATGTTGAGAGCACTGGGTGTTATATGTAAATGATAAATCATTTAAGGAATTCTCATGAAACCAATATTGTACTGTATGTTAACAAGAATTTAAATTAAAATTTGAAGGGAAAAAATGGGCAAAAACTTAAATAGACATTTCTCCAAAGAAGATATCTAAGTGGCCAATAAGTACATGAAAAGGTGCTCAATATCACTAATCATTAGGGAAATACAAATCAAAACTACCATGAGATGCCACCTCACATCCATTGGGATGGCTACTATTTAAAAAACAATAAAGTGTTAGGGAGAATTTGGACAAATTGGAACTTTTGTGCACTGCTGGTAGGAATGTAAAATGATACAGCCATAGTACAAAACAGTATGACAGCTCCTCAGAAAACTAAAAATAGAATTACCAAACGATCCAGCAATTCCATCTCTGTATATATACGCAAAATAACTGGATCTGAAAGAGATACTTGTACACCCATGTTCATGACACCATTATTCCAATAGCTAAAAAATGGAAGCCACCCAAGTATCCATCCATCAATGAATGGATAAGCAAAATGTGGTGTATACATGTAAGGACTATTAGATGGCCTTAAAATGGAAGGAAATTCTGTACTATGTTACGATATGGATGGACCTTGAAGATAGTTGCTAAGTGAAATAAGCCAGTCACAGATAGTGTGGTCCTGATTTCTGTACATGTGACACACCCAGTAAATGTTTACTGAATGAAAAGAAAATTACATACTACTTCACATTCTTTAGGATACCCATCCTAAGTTTTGTTTTGTTTTGTTGTTTTTTAAGGAAAAACCAATGCTGGCTATAATGTGGAGAAATAGGAACTTTGTACACTGTTGGTGGAAAACAGCTGTTGGCCCCTCAAAAAATTAAACATTACCATGCAACCCAGCAATTCAATTCCTGGGTATATACCCCAAATAACTGAAAACAAGTACTCAAAATACATTTTCAAGAATGATCATAGGAGGGGCAGCCCCGGTGGCACAGAGGTTTAGCGCCGCCTGCAGCCCTGGGCGTGATCCTGGAGACCCTGGATCAAGTCCCATGTCGGGCTCTCTGCATGGAGCCTGCTTCTCCCTCTGCCTGTGTCTCTCCCTCTCTCTATCTCGCTCTGCATTTCTATGAATAAATAAATAAAATCTTTTTTTTTAAAAAAAAAAAAGAATGATCATAGGAGGGACGCCTGGGTGGCTCAGCAGTTGAGTGTCTGCCTTTGGCTCAGGGTGTGATCTTGGAGTCCTGGGATCAAGTCCCATGTCGGGCTCCCTGCATGGAGCCTGCTTCTTCCTCTGCCTGTGTCTCTGCCTCTTTCTCTCTCTGTCATGAATAAACAAATACAATATTTAAAAAAAAAAGAAAAACGATCATAGGAGCATTATTCATAATCTCCTAAAGTTGGAAACAATTCAAATGTCCATCAATAGGTGACTGAATAAACAAATCATGATATATCTGTACAATGGAACATCTTTCAGCATAAAAAGGAATGAAGTACTGATACATGCTATAATTTGGATAAACCTCAAAAACATGCTAAGTGAAAGAGAGCAGATATCAAAGGTCACATTTTGTATGATTCCTTTCACAGAAATATCCAGACTATGAATCCTTGGAGACAGAAAGAATCTAAGTATTTGCCAGAGGATCGGGGTAGGGATGAAGTGATTATTTGGTGTGGTGGGGGTGTTCTTCAGTGGGTTATGAAAAAGTTTTGAAACTACAGAGAGGTGGTGGCTGCACAACATTGTGAGTATACTAAATGCCACCGAATTGTACACTTCGGTTATTTTAATGTTTAAAATAGTTATTTTAATGTTATATGAATTTTACCTCAATTAAAAAAAATAGAATTTATGACCACATCTGTTTTAGCTGTTGCGGAGTTTTGTGGCAGGTTGTGGTCCATCTTCCGGAGAACTGGCTCCAAGTTCCTA